GGCTCTTCCGGGCTTGACGCCGCAGGCCCGCGAGGAACCCGACGCCCGTGGGGGTGTCGTAGAGTGCTTTGGCGGCGTCGCCTCCGAGGTGCTGCAGGCAGAGCGGGACCCCCGAGGCCATGCCCACCGCTTCGCGGAAGCACGTCACCTGGGAGCACTTCTCGCCATAGCGTAGGACCATGTAGATCTGCCTGTGATGCTCGCAGAGGCAGGCTGTCGCGTTCCCCTCGCTGGGAGGCGCGAGGTCCGAGGCTCGGCCATCCTCCGCCAACAGCACGGTCGGCTCGCCGCGGGCGGCGTCGCGACAGCCTTCAGGTGCCAGCGGGCGCATCTTGCCCTTGATCATGAGCCCCACCTTCACCGCCTCGCAGGGGTTATCCTCGACATCCACCTCGGACTCGGACTCCTGGTCAAGCAACCTTGCCACAGATCCCTGCATGCCAGGCTCCGCATCGCCAGTCTTGCGACGGCGGCGTCGCCGGCGGCAGATGCACGCCCCGCAGCACGAAAGCCATGAGAGGACGTACAGCAGCAGCTTGTAGACGAGGCCCAACCACCTCCAGAGCCAAACGAAGATCCGGCAAGGCGTGAACTTCGAGTAGTCGCCGAGGTCCACGATAGCCTCGTTGTCGAGGGCGGCATATTCCTTGCAGTGCAGCTCGTTCTCGCGCCCCTTGCATCCGGTACAGCTGGCGGAGCGGCACTGGTGGAGCCAGCGCGGATCGCGCTGCTCCAGCTCGCGCCTGAAGCCCTTGTCGCTCGCGCCCTTCACGGAATCATACTCCCGCGCTTGGAGCCCCTGCCCTCCTTGCTGCTCTTGCGGTTCCAGTCGGTGGTCGGATCCGCACCCACGGCTGGGCCGTGCCACACCACGTCGGTGAGGGGCGGGGCCGCCGGCGGGACCAGCTTGTCAAGCTTAGCCTCGCCAGGCGTCTTGCGCCTCGGGCAGGGACAGCACGCCAGCACCAAACCGCATGTCCAGGCTGCCCAGCTGCAGGGCGCGAAGAGCGTCCTCAGGCTGTGGGCCAGGAGCGCGATCACGCCGGTGCCGGAGAAGATCGCCACGAGCCCGGCGACCAGCGGCCACGCGGAGCCGAACAGGTAGAGGCCCACTTGGTCGGCCATGTACAGCACCCAGCCGCCGTCGGAGCTCAGCCAGCCTCCTGCCTCGCGAGTCGAGAAGGCGGACCTGAAGCTTCCCACAGCCCTGAAGGTGCCCCCGCCCATCCCCTCGGCAAACCAGTGCGTGCGGTTGCCGATGTCTTTCCAACTGATGCCGAAAAGACCCCAACCCCTGATCCAGGACGATGGGCTCCCGTCGGAGGGGTCGGGGGGGGTGCGGGTCGGGCCCTGAGGAGGTGGGTCAGCCGGCGGCGCAGAGCGCTCGCGCGGCGGCACCCCTCCAGCGCTCCTCGCCGGAGCGGCACGCCCGCTGGTGGAGTGAACCTCGACCGGCAGCGCGCCCACGTGCGCGGGGGAGTCCATGGGCCCGTCGAGCCAGAACCCATTCATGTCCACGCTCGACTTGTCGTCGTAGTAGGCCTCGAGGTCGGGGGCCGCCTGCCCGGGCGTGAGCTCGGCGCTGGCCGCCTCCACCATCACCACGAGGATCTTGAGCAGAGCTGCAGCCCGGCCACGGCGCCTGCCAGCGGGCGACGGCGCCGGGGCCCCGGGGCAGCTCCTCCAGGCGGGCCCCGGCGCACGTACGCGCTTCGCCGCCCTCGCCCGGCAATGAGCCGGCGCCGGCGCTGACATGCGCCTGGCCGCCCGCTCGGCGGAGGCGGGCAGCTGCCATGCCACGGCGGCCGCCCCTTCGCCCCCGGGTGCTCCGCGGCTGGCGTGAGCCGGCGCCGCTCGGCGCCCGGGCCCTCCGCCGCTGCGCCCTCGGGCAGCGGCGCCGCCGCCCCCCAGCCGCGCGGCGCCAGGCGCGGCCCCATGCGGCCGCGGGCGCCCCCCTTTCGGGCCCGGTCCCGGGTCCCGAAGGTCTTCCGGCCCCGGGGCCCGGCCTTAGGCCACCTGAGGCCGACCCCCAGCTTGGCCTTCGGAAAGGCTTGAGCCGCCGAGCGGCGGTGAGAGAGAAGGAGCGAGAGAGGGCAAGCAAGAGGCAAGGGCAGGAGCGAGGGGACCGCAGGAGAAAGCCCGCGCCAGTCCTGGAAACGGGGAGACCCATCAGTTTTACCAAACATCCTAGACACGATGTTTCAACTCTCGCTCGCCTGCTTTCCCTCCGTGCCGGGTTTCGTGTAAAAGCATCTGGGGTAGAAGTACAAGCGAAGTCCACGTATCGACCGTATTAGGTGCAGTGTCCGTGTTGTGTCGATACGTAGTCTCCAAGGTTGTCAAGCATGCCGTAAGTATGCGTAGGAATTGCGTCCGAATGCATGTCGGTACGCCTTTCATTGTTTGAATTGGTGTATCGATGTAAGAACCCAAATCCACTTGGCGGATGTGTTGCCACCCATTTGGCAGAGTAGTGTGTATCCTTGTTGGCTGAACCTGGCGTGTTGGTGCTCGAGCTGGTGGGTCCGTCGTGCCTGGCCGTTGTGATGGCGTGCGGACTATGACCCGATTGTATATCTCACCGAAAAGGATGCTCTCCGCCACAGCCACATACGCAAGCTCCAGGTTCGTCGTGTATCCCGTACCCCCAAATATCGCAAACCTCGCCGGATATCTAGGAATAGTTGATGAACCAAATCACCAGTAAGTACACCTTGTATTCCGTGCACAGTGGTACCTGGAAATGCGTGTAATACATTGCCCATCCAATTGAGGATAGCCGGTGTGTCATCGAAGCCAGCAGCGGACCATACAATTGGATTGTTGCAGCCCGACCATTGGTGTTGTCGTATAATTCCCATCACATCTTCATTTGGTGCATTAATCGGCAGGCACAGTTTCCCGCATCCCCAAAATGCGGTAAATTACCCCTCTGATCTTTCTAGGGGGGCATAGGTGTGTGTACATCGCTGAATTTGGTGGTTGTTGTTGGGCCGGTTCTGGAAGATGTTTCGCGTTGCGGGTTCCCGTGATAATGAAGTTTTCGTCACCATCGTTCGCTCATGGCCTCAATGTCGCATGGTAATGGTGCCGCCAGGCCAGGGCGATCTTCGATATCGGGAGGGGGTGGTTGGTGGGGATGGTCTACACACGCTGGTACCCCTCAGTCTGCACATGTTTGCTGGAGGGGGCGGGTCGGGGCGTCGGACAGGAGGGCGTTGGCGTTTATCAAGTCGGCGGGAGGGGGTGGAGGTGCTGGGGCCATCGTCTGGGGAGGGGGGACTGGTCCTAACCTTGATGGAGCATGCGTCGGTGTCGTTGGCAATGATCCCGAAGGTCACGGATCTAAGCCTAAGGTAACTAGAGATCGATTGACTACGGATCCATGTGGGGCCTCAGGAGCACTAGAATTGGAGGTGGGCTCCCTCCGCCAGGGGTTGGTGATCGCGGAGCCGGCGGTCCCGAGGAAAGAGGGGGAGTGTCATGTTCTTCGCGTTCACAATGAGGAGGCTGAGGGGCCACAATTTGTTCTGGAGTGCCGGGTCTTTGCGGCGGCGGGTCGTGCTCAGCCCTGCCTGGCGATAGTGGTTCAGCAAGAAGGGCATGGGGCGCACGGGGAACTATGGGGATAGGATGGACGAACGTGTAAGGGGTATCATTGGGGAGGTGGGGAGGCGGACCGGAGGATACCGTAGTTGGTGGTGGGTCGTAGGGTTGGTCACGTCGTAATGGTTGTTGTTGTTTTGGTGCGAACGATGCCGTCCCGCGCATTGCCAGATTCCGTTGGTCTGTTCGTTTATTTCCGTTGTTCCCGATGTCAGAGTCCATAGTTGCTCGGCCAGGGCCGAGGCGTAGAAGTTGAAATGCTTGGTCAAGCCGGGAGCATTTCGGGGGACCTGGATATGCAGCTTCCCCGATCCGTATCCCAACATATGGTGAGAATCTGTATGGGAGGTAGTGTAGGACGCTACCAGCCGCACGGCCGTTCACAAATTTGTAGTGAAAAATAATAAAAACGCGTAATTTGAAATTCAACGCGAATTCCTGCTGATCCCACATAAATTTGTCACGCTTCGCGTATCCCCACCAGCCCATCTCAAAACAGCAACTTTAGTGAAGCATGCCGACAATCGTGTTTTTCGGGCAGCATCCGTTTCAGTACTTCCGCTACCGTTTCGGTACCTTCATACCCGTTTCGGTACTTCCACGATTCCTTTTCGGTACCTTCATCTATTCGTTTCGGTGCCTTCATGTATTCGTTTCGTTCGTTTCGGTGCCTTCATGTATTCGTTTCGGTACCTTCATTTATTCGTTTCGGTACTTCCACCAATCCGTTTCGCTACTTCCACCAATCCGTTTCGATAGCGGCAATACGGAAACGGAAACGCCGAAAAGAGACGCGGAGCGGAAAAGAAGGACGAGGGGAAGAGGAAGCGGGGGAAATAAGAAACGGGAAAGAGCGGGACAGAGCAGCAAAAAACGGCATCACGCCGGTTAAAGCCGTGGTCCACGGATTGTGGTAATGTTTCGCCGATCTCGCACGGCGACAGAGCTGTTCGGCGACTTCGATTCGGACGAAGCAGCTGAAATTGCTTTGGAACCAGATGATACAATCGACCTCGACACTGCCGACACAGCAGAAAACGTCCACATCACGATCGGCGAGGGGATGGCAGATTCGGACCCCGGACCGCCATTGCCGTTCCTGGACGTTTACGTCCCCAAAGGCACGAAGGCGAGCATAATTTACGATATGGTTGCGGAGTATCTGGGTCGCACAGCAAGAGCGGTTGTTACCACACCTACTATTTTCAAGCTTGTGCTCGATACGGCACCCCAAGACGAAATCCCAGAGAGTGCGGTCCTTGAGACAGATTACGATTTGGAGGAAAAAAGACACGCGGAAACGGGCACCCCTGACCACGTTGATATCGTCATCCAGAACGGCCCCGACATCCTCTTGACGTTGCAGGTACGGCGCGGCACCTCCGCAGGCGTAGTTTTCCAAGAAGTGGCCGAAATATTACGCGTGCCATTGTGGATGACCCGCGCGTGCATGAACTTTTGGATAAGGATTATTTCTTCACCCCCAATATGGTAGTGACAGAGCCGTTCCGCCTCGGAGTGCAGGCAGCTCGGACTGGTGGCCGATACAGCAGAATGCCGCGCGCGAGCCGTGAGAGAAAAAAAAAACATCGTCGCCATCGAAAGACGAAAACCGAAGTGGGGTTTAAATTGTTTTAGCATGGAAATGGAAAAGCCCTGACAGGCCCTAAGGGGCCCTGAGGGGCCCTAAGAGGCCCTCAGGGGCATTGAAAGGCCCCGGGCGGCCCTGAGGGGGCCGTTCAGGCTCCTTAGGGCCCTTCAAGGCCGTCAAGGCGCTTTAGGGTCCCTCAAGGCCCCACAGAGCTCTTTCGGACCCCTCAGGGCCCCTCAGGGCACCTTAAGGCCCCTCAGGGCCCCTCAGAGCCTTTCAAAGCCCTTTAGGGCCCCTCAGGACCCCTTAGGGCCTCCTTCAGGGCCCCTCAGAGCCCTCTAGGCCCTCTTAGTGTTTCTCTAAGGGACCCTCCGGGCCCCTGAGGGCCCTTTCATGGCTCCTCAGGGACCCTTCAAGGCCCCTACGGGCCCTTCAGGACCCCTCACGGCCCCCCTGAGTTTCCAAGGGCCCCGCAGGGCTCCTTAGGGTCCCAGGTGCCCTGAGGGGCCCTGAGGAGCCCTGAGGAGCCCTAAGGTGCCTTGAAGAGCCCTACGGGCCCTAAGGGGCCCTGGGGAGTTTTAAGGAGCCCCCAGGGAGCCCTAAGCCCTCTAGGCCCTCTTAGTGTTTCTCTAAGGGACCCTCCGGGCCCCTGAGGGCCCTTTCATGGCTCCTCAGGGACCCTTCAAGGCCCCTACGGGCCCTTCAGGACCCCTCACGGCCCCCCTGAGTTTCCAAGGGCCCCGCAGGGCTCCTTAGGGTCCCAGGTGCCCTGAGGGGCCCTGAGGAGCCCTGAGGAGCCCTAAGGTGCCTTGAAGAGCCCTACGGGCCCTAAGGGGCCCTGGGGAGTTTTAAGGAGCCCCAGGGAGCCCTAAAAAAAACATCAGGGAGCCTTAGGGCCCTAAAGTGCCTTGAAGGGCCCTGCGGAGCCCTGAAGGCCCTGCAGGGCCCTGGGGGGCCCTAAGGGGCCCTAAGGAGGAAGGGTGGCGGCGGCGGCGACAACGAGGACGGCGGCGGCGGCGGCAACGGCGGCGGCGGCGAGAGCGGCCGCGGCGCCGAGGACACGACGACGAGGATGAGACAACGAGGGCGGCGAGCACACGACGAGCAAACGTGGAGGAAACGCCGCGGCGGTCGCGCCAGCGGGGCGCCGCCGGGACGCTCCGAGGAGGGGGTTCGTCGTCGTCGTCGTTTCCGCCTCCGCTCCTCTTCTTGCTCCTCTTCCTCCCCCTCTTCCTCTTCCTCCTCCTCCTGCTCTTCCCCCTCCTCCTCCTCCTCCTCCCCCATCCTCCTCCGCGCCCTCCCCTCCTCCTCCCCCTCCTCCTCTTTGTTGTAATCGACGGGCACAACGCGCAATGGCTGCAAGGTCCCGAAACGCATTTTCTGAGGTACCGAAGCGAATTTTCCGAAGTACCGAAACGAATTTTCTGAGGTATCGAAACGAATCGTCCGAGGTACCGAAAAGAACCGACCGAGGTGCCGAAACGGATTGGCAAAGATACCGAAACGGATGTTCAAGTACCGAAACGGTAGCGGAGAACGCCGGGCAACATCCGTTTCAGTATTTCCGCTACCGTTTCGGTACCTTCATACCCGTTTCGGTATTTCCACGATTTTTTTTCAGTACCTTCATCTACTCGTTACGGTGCCTTCATGTATTCGTTTCGGTGCCGTCATTTATTCGTTTCGGTATTTCCACCAATCCGTTTCGCTACTTCCACCAATCCGTTTCGATAGCGGCAATACGGAAACGGAAACGCCGAAAAGAGCAGCGGAGCGGAAAAGAAGGATGAGGGGAAGAGGAAGCGGGGGAAATAAGAAACGGGAAAGAGCGGGACAGAGCAGCAAAAAACGGCAGCACGCCGGTTAAAGCCGTGGTCCACGGACTGTGGTAATGTTTCGCAGATCTCGCACGGCGACAGAGCTGTTCGGCAACTTCGATTCGGACGAAGCAGCTGAAATTGCTTGGGAACCAGATGATACAATCGACCTCGACACTGCCGACACAGCAGAAAACGTCCACATCACGATCGGCGAGGAGATGGCAGATTCGGACCCCGGACCGCCATTGCCGTTCCTGGACGTTTACGTCCTCCAAGGCACGAAGGCGAGCATCATTTACGATATGGTTGCGGAATATCTGAGTCGCACAGCAAGAGCGGTTGCTACCACACCTTAGCTTCAAGCTTGTGCTCAATACGGCACCCCAAGACGAAATCCCAGAGAGTGCGGTCCTTGAGACAGATTACGATTTGGAGGAAAAAAGACACGCGGAAACGTGCACCCCTGACCACGTTGATATCGTCATCCAGAACGGCCCCGACATCCTCTTGACGTTGCAGGTACGGCGTGGCACCTCCGCGGGCGTAAGTTTTCCAAGAAGTGGCCAAAGTATTAGGCGTGCCATTGTGGATGACCCGCGCGTGCATGAACTTCCATTTGGCACTCTTGGATAAGGGTATTTCTTCACCCCCAATATGGTAGTGACAGAGCCGTTCCGCCTCGGAGTGCAAGCAGCTCGGACTGGTGGCTGATACAGCAGAATGCCGCGCGCGAGCCGTGAGAGAAAAAAAAAACATCGTCGCCATCGAAGGTCGAAAACCGAAGTGGGGTTTAAACTGTTTTAGCATGGGAATGGAAAAGCCCTGACAGGCCTTAAAAGGCCCTGAGGGGCCATAAGAGGAGCTCTAAGAGGCCCTCAGAGGCATTGAAAGGCCCCGAGCGGCCCTGAGGAGCCCGTTAAGGCTCGTTAGGGCCCTTCAAGGCCGTCAAAGCCCTTTAGGGCCTCCTCAAGGCCCCACAGAGCTCTTTCGCACCCTTTGGGGCCCCATCAGGGCCTCATCAGGGCACCTCAGGGCCCCTCAGAGCTTTTCGAAGCCCCTTAGGGCTCTTCAGGACCCCTTAGGGCTCCCTTCAGGGCCCCTCAGAGCCCTCTAGGCCCTCTTAGAGCTTCTAAGAGCCCCTCCGAGCCCCTGAGGGCCTTTTCATGGCTCCTCAGGGACTCTTCAAGGCCCTTTCGGGCCCTTCAGGGCCCCTCGGGGCCCCTCACGGCCCTCCAGAGCTTCCAAAGGCCTCGCAGGGCTCCTTAGGGCCCCAGGGACCCTGAGGAGCCCTGAGGGTCCCTAAGGTGCCTTGAGGGTCCCTACGGGCCCTAAGGAGCCCTGGGGAGCCTTAAGGAGCCCCAGGGAGCCCTAAAAAAAACACCAGGGAGCCTTAAGGGGCCCTAAAGTGCCTTGAAGGGCCCTGCGGAGCCCTGCAGGGCCCTGGGGGGCCCTAAGGGGACCTAAGAAGCTTTAAGGTGCCCTAAGGAAGGCGGGAGGGGGGGGCCTGAGGGGAAGCGGCGGCGGCGGCGACAACGACGACGGCGGCGGCGGCGGCAACGGCGGCGGCGGCGAGAGCGGCCGCGGCGCCGAGGACACGACGACGAGGACGAGACAACGAGGAGGAGGACGGCGGCGAACACACGACGAGCAAACGAGGAGGAAACGCCGCGGCGGTCGCGCCAGCGGGGCGCCGGCGAGGCGCCGCCGGGACGCTCCGGAGAGGGGGTTCGTCGTCGTCGTCGTTTCCGCCCCCGCTCCTCTTCCTGCTCTTCCTCCTCCCCCTCTTCCTCCCCCTCCTCGTCCTGCTCTTCCCCCTCCTCCTCCTCCCCCCCCTCCGCCTCCTCCTCCCCCTTCTCCTCTTTGTTTTAATCGACGGGCACAACGCGTAATCGCTGCAAAGTTCGGAAACGCATTTTCTGAGGTACCGAAGCGAATTTTCCGAAGTACCGAAACGAATTTTCTGAGGTACCGAAACGGATCGTCCGAGGTACCGAAACGAAACGACCGAGGTACCGAAACGGATTGGCAAAGATACCGAAATGGATGTTCAAGTACCGAAACGGTAGCGGAGATACCGAAACGGATGCTACCGGTGTTTTTCAAGCGTGTTTCCGCCTGCCCCCGCATATCTCCCCTGTTCCTCTTTCCTCCCGCATCCTTGTACATCGTCCTTGTGGTGGGAGCGGGAGAAAGACGAGGCGGAGGAGAAGGGAGAGAAAGCGCTCCTCGTGGTTTGAGTCGTTCGGGCTTCTCGTCTTGGTGTGAGTCATTCGGGCCCTTCTTCCTGGTGTGAGTCGTTCGGGCTCTTCGTGGTGTCAGTCGTTCGGGCTCTTCGTTCTGGTGTGAATCGTTCGGGCTTCTCGTGGTGTGAGTTGTTCGGGCCCCTTGTCCTGGTGTGAGTCGTTTGGGCCCCTCCTCTTGCTCGTCGAGAAACGACGCCCAGGCGAGTAGAGGCTCGTCCTGATGAGGTTTTCGGCGTCTTGGGTGCCTCGGGAGACCCTCTTTGGGTCGTTTGGGATCCTCTTGGAGGCTTCTTGGCGCCATCTTGGAGGAAATCGATTAGAAAAAAGGAAAGCTTTAATTAGCGGTGCCCCCTCAGAAGGCCAAAATGCGGCCAAAATCTCTTAGTATAATCAATGATTTTGGTTAGCGCTGCCCCCTCAAAAGGCCAAAATAAGGCCAAAACCGCAGTAAAATCAATGATTTTGGCGTCATAGAAGAGGAGAGCACTTTTCTCACCCCCCCCGTCGGGGTGAGAATCCTCGTGAGAGTACCGTTTTTTTAGCCCTCCCAAGAGTTGACAAAAATCCCCCAGCCACCAGCGGAGGGACCTCTCCAGTTCCAGGGGGAGGGGGTAGGGGGAGAGGTACACCCCTCCACTCACGCTCAAAGAGCTGGTGGGATTGACCCGTGCGTTCGGTTTGTATTTTTCTGCAGGAAGTCCAAGTCGGAAACCGGTAGAAAATACCGTGGGAGCCTTTGAGCCAGGGTTGGGCTTTCAAGGGCCTATTGGTGGGTACGCCGTGGAAGCCCCTGAATGTCGGGATCGGAATTCTTGAATCGGTTCTTCTTCGGACCTGCTGGTAGACGGAGTCCACGCCGTAATCAAGCTTTCCTACGCATCGGAAGTCTACTGTGGTCGGAGAGAAAATCGGAAATGAGA